TCAATTCTCGTTTCTACATGCTTCTTAATAAGCATTTCTGTGTACGTCGTCTTGATTTTCAGTTTATGTCTAAAAGTGATATTAAAATAATATGCCAACAATACCTTCCATCAATTATCAATCAAATCACTTCGCTTCGTCTTTCCAATGGTGATGATGATAATTTATTACAAACTGATCTTTTTCTTTCGTATGATTTAGAGATAAATTATTTTACTCATTTGCGATCACTCTCATTATGTCACATCCATTCAGAATTGGAAACGGCTAAAATGATATACCAATGTCGGTATTTGCCTCATCTCTCTCATTTGAAGCTGATCAAATGTTATTCTTTATCTGAACAGATGTTCAACAGTATTTGGCTTTTGCCTAAACTCACTCATTGTTATTTAGATATTGAAGAAAATAGTTTACACATCCCAACAATGTTCTCATTATCTCTTGAATATTTGTCAATCTTAGGTCATTGTTGTCCCTTGAATCAACTGGTTCATCTATTTGAACGGGCACCTCGTATTCGAAGTCTTTGCATAGAACTGGCTGATTTGAATATGGGCGGTTCTTTACCTTTTCGCGTTTCATTAATCACTACTTTGAGGCTCTATAATGTGCGCTCAGCATATGTAATGATGAATCTGCTACAAAACATGCCCAACTTATATTACTTGAGAGTTGAAACGTTTGATATCAATCTGAACGGACATCAATGGGAAACAGTTATTGTCGATTATTTACCAAAATTAGTTGTCTTTCGACTCAAGATGGAAGTATCACTTCCAAGAAAAGATGATCATGGACAACAAGTTGATAATCTTCTAGATTCATTTCGAAGTCAATTTTGGCTTGATAAACATCAATGGTTTGTTCAATATCATTGGAAGTCAAACAATGATCACATTAAAGTACTTTTATATACTTTGCCTCAAATATTTGTGGAATTTGACATGAATACGATTAGCACTTGGTACAAATCAACGTGTCCCCATGATAATGTTCAAAGGTCGTATCGAAAGGTACACAGCCTTAAATATCATTCACCGTCGAGTGCATACTTACCCTTCTCTCATATTATCTGTTCTGGCATTCACCACCTTTCTGTAAAACTTCCTCTCGATCAACAATTTTGGACAATTATACCAAGACTAGATCATTTGACTTCTCTTTGTGTTTTGTCGTCTGATGAGGATGCTCAATATCATCTACAAAAGTTGCTCGATCATTCACCAAGTCTCTATACGTTAGAGATTAAATCATGGCCGTCTTCGCAAATATCATTGATTCGAAATATCAGCAGATCGGTTCGCCGACTTGATTTACGAACATTCGAATTAAGTGATCAACATGATTCCAATCCATCTTTCATTATTCATAAGTGCGTAATATTGGGAACATTTTTTACAGGAAT